GTACGTGTATATTTTTGCCAATGGAAAAAGATAGTAGTGATGAAGGTTTTCAAATATCAAGATTTTATAAGCATTTAACAAAAACAAAATGTACCACATTAAAACAAAAGGAAGATAAAGAAAATGCAGCCAAAACAAATAAGGTAACTATCAGCATTTGCACTGAAATCAGCCGTTCGATCCACCGTACGTCTGTATATTTTTTCCCATTTGTAGACAACAACATCATCAACAAGTAACATCAATACTAAATCAATACAATCATCTATACAAATAACACCAACAAGAAAACCAGCTGATAAGACAAACAACACAAGCACGAAAAAAATAAAGCGTGCAGGTGATCCTGTATCAAACGATAGTCGACCAGCTAAGTTACGAAAGTATTAATCATCGTCAATAATAATGTTTTACAAAATATTCAATAAAAAAATGTATTTATCTGTTTTATGTTGATTTATTCATGATTTTATTTCTCTTTNAAATAAAAAATAAATTTTTGTACATTATTTTTTATTTATTGTTATTAATGCAATTGTTTAAACAGTAATCATGATTTATATAATTCATAAAAAGCATTTTTCAATTTATTTTTTGTTTTGCTACTTTGTATATGTGTGTCAATGATTAATAAAGGATAGATTTTGGTATTTTTATATAATTTGTATGTGTATTTTGTGATTGAATGGGTCCTCTTTGGGTCTGAATTTTACCGACTGACATGTTGTATAATGAGCGTCTTTCCAATATAGAGATCTCTGCATGCGCTTATCCTGAAAAGCTAAATCTCGGAGCCTATCTCGGATAGTAGATAGCAGGCACTTAAAACGTGTATGGTTTACCCAGACCCGAGGTGGTTTTCCAGCTGTACTTAGTAAACCATTAATCTAAAAAACAGAAGACAGCATAAATATTTAGAGTTAAGATTTGCAAGAGGTAGTCCGATCACTTAACTACAAACTGGCACAGCTTATAGAGAGAATCGGTGGTACTCATTTTCCGAAGAGTCCCTTACTTTCTTCCTGTGACATGCAGGACTAATGAACCACATGGAAACATAGATTATCGACCATTCTGATCATCACGGTGATATCTGTTTTCTTCCGGTAAGTATGACGGATATTATTATAAATACCAGCTAATGCCACTAATGCACTGTTGGCTAATGCACTATTATTTGTATATTCTAATCGGGCATGAATGCTTGTTTAAAGTATCTGAGTGCATCATCATATAAACTTGGTCTTGAATAAATAATACTCATGCAGTTATATGCTGAAACTGAAGAACCATCTTCTAAAACGATACTTTCCGGCGCGAATGGATCAAGGTTCAACGCGAAATCCTGGTGAACCATAGTCTACGCAGTCGAAGCAAGGCGCGCAGCGTGTAAACATTTGTGTAAAAGGTAGATTATTTAATCGTATAATTTAATCTAATCGGGAAAACTAAGGAAAACCGAAGCAGACTTGGAGAAATTGAGGGGAAACTGCTCTAAGCAGCTAAAAGCTTGATAAAACAAGAACCATTACGCAACAATTTACACAATGCTTGTCTCGCTGCGCGCCTTCGGCGCTTGCTTCGATGCATAGTCATTTTCTGATTCTCCATAGTCGAATACTGATTTCATATCATTATCATCCAAACAAGTTGAAATGATTTGTGTGTCTGTCTGTCCGCTAATGACTTGTGGGTCGCACTTTGGGCTGCGGACATAACGTGCCCGTAATTCAAACTTCGAGCAGAATTTGTTTTTGACTTAATCATACATATTCTGATCCGTCTTGTTGAGCTGATCACGAATATCACCTTTTGACTTCTTCTAAATCGCATCTTCATGGAGAAAAACCCGGTTTACTGAGAAGGTCGCAAAAACCCCAAAAGTTTTGTTTTCCGGAAAAATGCCATAACTTTTTTCGCTTTAGTCGTGTAGCTCTGAAGCAATTATTTTTAGATTCCTTATGTAAAACTGGTTCTAGTAACGATATTCTTCTACACGCGACATAACATCAACTGAAAAGAGTGGCATCTATGATAATAATACAGAAAGCTGTAAGTCCTTAAATCTAAAATCCGAATTCTCCTGTAGGCGACAACTCATATGAGTCAAAATCCCAAACCGAATTTTGCAGACCTAACACAGGTTTGTGTAGAGAGGGTAGGCAAAATATTTTCCTCTTGCCAGAACCGCTAGAAGCCCAGCTTCAAAGTTACGAAGAGATTTTTAAAACGTTCCTTTTCATTGCCGAGAAAAATGAATTTTACTAGGGAGACTACATTACTGGTTATATCATTTTCGATTTTTTTTCACTTTTTGCTCCAAATCGAGTTCGAATATAACCAAATAGGTTAGAAACTGTGGAGAGTTTGATGCACACATGCACTTGACATCCAAGAGGTCTCTACAAGATCTCCAGATTTTCAGATCCAGGTGTCCACAAAAATTCAGGTCAGCATGTTTCGGTGTGATAGACTTCAGCACACGAATGACTTCAAGGTACTGATGGGCCATTCTTATTTATCTGAGAATCGTATTTCAATGCAACAAAAATGAATTCATACGGAGATCACAATATTCAAAAAATTTCTACTTGAGAAACTTGTACTAATATTTAGACTTACGACTGTTGGTTAAGTATCTAAATTACTGTTACTGATACGAGCATGACTTTGAACTGTTCTGCTACATGCGTCGCTGAAAAACATTTGAAGAACTTGAGTATAAGTTTGACCGTCTTTGTATGCTTTCAGACAGCGCCAAAAGCGACGAATGAGTTTTTGATAAATATCTCTTTCACGAAAATGATCACGAGATTCACTGATCAGCTTTAACATTGTTGAATAAGTTTGGTCAGTCTTTCGGCGAACATATTGCTTCTGATTGCACCACAGACCTTCAATACAATTGAGCTCACAGTGAAATTTTGGGCAGAAGACTATCTTGATCCTGTATTTCAAAGCTAATTGTTCCAAACGTGAAACCTGAAATTTAAGAAGGACGAAGGAAGAGTTAAATTGTTCAACAATAAGTGAAAAGGCTTCCGAGCTCACGTTCTGAAACGCTAGATGTCTAGCCAAGGCTTGTCGAATATCTGGAAGTTTAGGTTTCGCTGGTAGTATTACTTTCAACTCTTTGCTCAGTTCTAGTAAGCCGTTAGCTAATCCTTTGTTTGGGCCATCCTGGAAACAGTATTCAACAATTTACTGTTGTCCATTTGCATCAATGTATTCCAGTTGTCCGACCGAAACACGAGTTCCAATACCTTTTGCAAAATTCATAACACTATATGCTTTTGCAGTATGAGTACGAGCATTATCGACAACAATCTCAATTGTGTGATTTCGACAGGCTTCTTTGAATTCAATTAGCATAAACAAACGCTCGAATTGTTCAAGAATAGTTGAATTATCAAAATAAGCACCTTGACCAACATTGATTGATGCTGTGGCACTTCTTTCGACATAGTCAACTCCAGTTGAAGTTTTTAACTGTGGATATTTGGATACCGCTTTTCATACTCTTTTTCATTCAGTTGAAAAAATGGCCCAGATGAATGTTGAACTAAAAAATCACTAGCCATGTTAGATCATAGTCTTCCTTTCGAATAAAATGGGGCAACTTCACCGAAAAACCACTGTTTATTTGAAACTTCTCCGCTCCGGAAAGTACTCTCATCATGAACTAAAATAGTAGAGGAAAACCCTGGATAATATTCTACTGCTTCAGTGACCTGCCATAAGACTTACACAAAAGTACACATGGTGGCTGTTGTGTTGGCATGATCTATTTTGGATTGTCACCTTCACTAATTTGCAATAATAATCTTTACGATCAAGAAAGTAATCAATAAATCGAGCTCGATGCTCAACTACATCATTGCGTTCATGTCCCTCAAAATATGGTCTCTGTGAATTCTTGTCAAATTTCGCTCCCCAACGTCTCAGGTCCAATCGGCAAGAAGAAATTGAACGGATCAGACCATTATCAGCACTTTTTGTAATGTCTGAAACTTCATAAAATTTCTGATCGACAAAATTTGTCAAGTTAGAAGCACTAAAATCAGCATTTTTTTGGGAACAGCGATTGAGAGTAAAGAGTTTCGCTTCAATTTCGATGTCAGGAAAATAATCATAAAAATCACCAAACTGTTTGTTGCTTCGATTTTCGCTGTTAAACTCTTCAAAATCACCTGAAATGAAGAGTTCCGTCCATTTATGGGCGGTTTCACTTGTAAAGGCACCGACTTCAGTCATAAAGGCATTACAATCTCTCCATTTAATGCCAATGACGGAGCGTCATATAAAGCAGGCAATTTAGCTGTTTTAGGCCACATTTCGCCTTACATAATTCGAAGACATCCATGAGATCGTTCAGAATAATTTTGTCTCCGAAATTGATCGGCTCATTATCAGGTTTAGCTTTAACGCCCATTTTTCCTTGTTCATCTTCTCATGATTCCTCACTTTCATCGTTCAGACTCTGACTGGACAAACGTATTTGATTAATAACTGACAGTTGTGCTTGACGTCTGGATTTTGGACCCATAGGAAGCAGCCGATTATATCTGTACTAGTGACTAAAGAATCTAAGAGAAAGATGTCAATCGGCTTCTGATCGAAAACCGTGAATGCACTGAAAACGAGAAAACAAAGAACACTCTGTGAAGATACACTCTTCTCGTCTGTCTCACAATAGCATAGAAAAGGAACGGATCTCGTAAAGAATAAAATTTTCGATTGTTTTAGTTTAGAATACTATAATGGAATATTCTTCCGCTTGTATTCTGACAGAATAAAGCTAATATCAAATGCGACTGGTTTATTCACAATAACACACAGAGATAAAAGATGATTTACACAAGAATGCGG